CCTGGAACGCAGGAGGGAGAGATACATGATTATATACACCTGGAAAATCCTAGAGGGACTAGTACCGAACTTGCACATGAAAATCACTCACTATGAAAGCAAAAGACTTGGCAGACGATGCACCATCCCCCCAATGAAAAGCAGGGGTGTCACTAGCACGTTAAGAGACCATACAATAAGTGTCAGGGGCCCGAGACTGTTCAACTGCCTCCCAGCACACATAAGGGGGATTACCAACAGACCCCTGGCAGTCTTCAAGCTGGCACTGGACAAGCACCTAAAGTCAGTTCCTGATCAGCCGGGCTGTGGCTCGTACGTTGGTTTGCGTGCAGCCAGCAGCAACAGCCTGGTTGATCAGGCTCTGATCCACCAGGCGGCCTGGTCACAGACCGGGCCGCGGGGGCGTTGACCCCCGGAACTCTCTCCAGGTAAACTCCAGGTATGTGTTCTAATTTACAATTTTTATTGAAGAAATTTGGATATTAGTTACAATATGACTTATGAACAGCTCTTCCTGTTGCACTAGCCACACTAACGCGACGGTCTGGGGTTTTGAGACTGATCGTGGGTTTTAACCCTACCCGTGGTATGGTTTATATAACTGCATTATCAACTCATGCTCCACTCAGCATTATTCCAGTCGAGTGCACTGAAGAACTAGGATTGCGGAATATAGGGTTACCTGGCCCCTCAAGGGTGGTTCCTTGATGCTGGTGAGGGACTCGTTGCTCTAGGGAATTGGATCAGTACTCCAGTTCCCTCGATACCTTCCATCCTCCCCCACCCCCATATTTTTTTTTTATTATCACACTGGCCGATTCCCACCAAGGCAGGGTGGCCCGAAAAAGAAAAACTTTCACCATCATTCACTCCATCACCGTCTTGCCAGAAGGGTGCTTTACACTACAGTTTTTAAACTGCAACATTAACACCCCTCCTTCAGAGTGCAGGCACTGCACTTCCCATCTCCAGGACTCAAGTCCGGCCTGCCAGTGTCCCTGAACCCCTTCATAAATGTTACTTTGCTCACACTCCAACAGCACGTCAAGTATTAAAAACCATTTGTCTCCATTCACTCCTATCAAACACGCTCACGCATGCCTACTGGAAGTCCAAGCCCCTTGCACACAAAACCTCCTTTACCCCCTCTCTCCAACCTTTCCTAGGCCGACCCCAACCCCGCCTTCCTTCCAGTACAGACTGATACACTCTTGAAGTCATTCTGTTTCGCTCCATTCTCTCTACATGTCCGAACCACCTCAACAACCCTTCCTCAGCCCTCTGGACAACAATTTTGGTAATCCCGCACCTCCTCCTAACTTCCAAACTACGAATTCTCTGCATTATATTCACACCACACATTGCCCTCAGACATGACATCTCCACTGCCTCCAGCCTTCTCCTCGCTGCAACATTAATCACCCATGCTTCACACCCATATAAGAGCGTTGGTAAAACTATACTCTCATACATTCCCCTCTTTGCCTCCAAGGACAAAGTTCTTTGTCTCCACAGACTCCTAAGTGCACCACTCACTCTTTTTCCCTCATCAATTCTATGATTCACCTCATCTTTCATAGACCCATCTGCTGACACGTCCACTCCCAAATATCTGAATACATTCACCTCCTCCATACTCTCTCCCTCCAATCTGATATTCAATCTTTCATCACCTAATCTTTTTGTTATCCTCATAACCTTACTCTTTCCTGTATTCACCTTTAATTTTCTTCTTTTGCACACCCTACCAAATTCATCCACCAATCTCTGCAACCACACATATGTATTCTCTCATATCTAGGCCCAAATGTACCACTCACAGTTTATCAGAGTGAGCTGAGCTCATGACGTAGATCTACGGTTTGGACCCTGAACGTAAAGCCGTAGATCTACGGGACGGACCCTGAAAGGGTTAATACAGTGGACCCCCGTAACGATGGCATCACATAGCGATTATTTCGCATACCGCTTACTTCAATTGCAAAAATTTTGCCTCACATACCGCTTAAAAACCCGCTTACCGATTTTCGTCCGAGACGCGTCCAATGTGCGGCCTGAGCCACGCTCACATGTTCCGCCGGTGGCATTGTTTACCAGCCAGCCTCCGCGGTAACATCCAAGCATACAATCGGAATATTTCGTATTATTACAGTGTTTTCGGTGCTTTTTCTGGAAAATAAGTGACCATGGGCCCCAAGAAAGCTTCTAGTGCCAACCCTACAGCAATAAGGGTGAGAATTACAATAGAGATGAAGAAAAAGATCATTGATAAGTATGAAAGTGGAGTGCATGTCTCCGAGCTGGCCAGGTTGTATAATAAACCCCAATCAACCATCGCTACTATTGGTGGTACAGCTGCTGCTGCTGCTGCACTGTCAGCTGCTGCTGCTGCTGTAGCACCGTTGTTGGTGTGGCTTATGAGAATACCAAGAAACAATTAACCCAGAGGATTTGCCACCCAGGATAACCCAAAAAAGTCAGTGTCATCGAAGACTGTCTAACTTATTTCCATTGGGGTCCTTAATCTTGTCTCCCAGGATGCAACCCACACAAGTCGACTAACACCCAGGTGAACAGGGAAAAATGCCTGGAACTAGTGCTCATATTTGTGAATTTAAAGCCAGCAAAGGTTGGTTTGAGAGATTTAAGAATCGTAGTGGCATACACAGTGTGATAAGGCCTGTTCTGGAAGAAAATGCCAAACAGGACCTACAGTACTCAGGAGGAAAAGGCACTCCCAGGACACAGTGTCTCATCAGTCATTGCTGCATCTTCAATAAAGGTGTCATTTATTCTTCATTTAGTAGACTAGTACATGCACAATATATACTGTGCATGTATCCTTCTCTTTGTGTGTGGGAAAATGTATATTTCATGTGGTAAAATTTTTTTTTTCATACTTTTGGGTGTCTTGCACGGATTAATTTGATTTCCATTATTTCTTATGGGGAAAATTCATTCACATAGCGATTATTTCGCATAACAATTACCCCTCTTGCACGGATTAAAATCGTTAGCCGGGGGTCCACTGTATATTTATAGATGGGGTTGTAAAAGTAAATGCTAGGGTGTTCGGGAGTGGGGTGGGATTAAATTTTGGGGAATCAAATTCAAAATGGGAATTGACACAGTTACTTTTTGCTGATGATACTGTGCTTATGGGAGATTCTAAAGAAAAATTGCAAAGGTTAGTGGATGAGTTTGGGAATGTGTGTAAAGGTAATAAGTTGAAAGTGAACATAGAAAAGAGTAAGGTGATGAGGGTGTCAAATGATTTAGATAAAGAAAAATTGGATATCAAATTGGGGAGGAGTATGGAAGAAGTGAATGTTTTCAGATACTTGGGAGTTGACGTGTCGGCGGATGGATTTATGAAGGATGAGATTAATCATAGAATTGATGAGGGAAAAAAGGTGTGGTGCGTCGAGGTATATGTGGAGTCAAAAAACGTTATCTATGGAGACAAAGAAGGGAATGTATGAAATTATAGTAGTACCAACACTCTTATATGGGTGTGAAGCTTGGGTGGTAAATGCAGCAGCGAGGAGACGGTTGGAGGCAGTGGAGATGTCCTGTTTAATGGCAATGTGTGATGTAAATATTATGCAGAAAATTCGGAGTGTGGAAATTAGGAAAAGGTGTGGAGTTAATAAAAGTATTAGTCAGAGGGCAGAAGAGGGGTTGTTGAGGTGGTTTGGTCATTTAGAGAGAATGGATCAAAGTAGAATGACATGGAAAGCATATAAATCTATAGGGGAAGGAAGGCGGGGTAGGGGTCGTCCTCGAAAGGGTTGGAGAGAGGGGGGTAAAGGAGGTTTTGTGGGCAAGGGGCTTGGACTTCCAGCAAGCGTGCGTGAGCGTGTTAGATAGGAGTGAATGGAGACGAATGGTACTTGGGACCTGACGATCTGTTGGAGTGTGAGCAGGGTAATATTTAGTGAAGGGATTCAGGGAAACTGGTTATTTTCATAGTCGGACTTGAGTCCTGGAAATGGGAAGTACAATGCCTGCACTTTAAAGGAGGGGTTTGGGATATTGGCAGTTTGGAGGGATATGTTGTGTATCTTTATATGTGTATGCTTCTAAACTGTTGTATCCTGATTATTATTATAATAAAAGAGAAGCGCTAAGCCACAAGGGCTATACAGCGCTGCAGGGCAGGAAGGAAGCGAGGGCATCAGGTGGCAAAAGGGAGGTGGATGAGTAATAGGTTACGGATAACAGCGGAGCAGTGGATGGTGAAAGGGTAAAGGGCAGCAAGAGACTGAGCTAGAAAGGGCTGAGGGGAGTGCGTAAGGTATCATCATCAGAGTTTGTGGAGTAAATCAGTCGTTGTCAAGAAGTCAATGAGAGAGTCAGGATTAAAGGAGGGTCCATCAGCAAGAAGGGAAGGTAAAGAGAGAGTAGTAGAACGAAGACGGCGTTGGAGGTAAATTCTGCGTGCTCGTTGATAGAGGGGGCAGTCTGTTGTATTCTGAGCAGCTCTGCAAAAACAGTGATAATGTGCGAGTGTGGTGAAAGTGTTGAATGATGAAAGTATTTTCTTTTTTTTGGGTCACCCTGCCTCGGTGGGAGACGGCCGACTTGTTGGGGGGGGGGGGGGATGTATTTACTATTTTTATTTGGGGCTGAGGGATTTTTTTGGGTGGGGAGAGGAGGGGGAGGTTGCAAAGCCCTAAGCAAGATAATGCAAGTTATTATAATCATAACTAAGAGCTAAACCCACAAGGGTTATAGTGTTGAGATAATGCAAAAGTGTTGCCCCTTCTTCCATCAACAGCGCCCATCATTCTCCCCTGTATAACCTCAGCAAAACCCACTGTCTTAAAGAAATCATTGATCAGATCAAAATTTAAGGGAGGAATGGGGAATAGGCATTTGATTTCAATCCCAAGAAGGGAATGAAAGGTTTAATTCCTCACAAGATCATTTGATGGATATACACTAGAATCAATGATGTGGAATCCTGTTTTAATTTTGAGGGACAAAAATTATACAAAATTACTATATGTTTTTATTACAATATATCCATTAATTATATACACTTTGAAAAAGAAAGTGATCATCTACAAAATGACAAGGGCTGAATGGCCAATATGGCTTTGGTGATATTTTGAGAATACAATTACAATAAAAGGAAGAGCTAAGCCTGGCACTGAACAAGTACTTTGTGACTATAACAATACATATTATTGACATTATGATATGCATTAGCTTTATATATACAAATATATTATGAAATTTTGAAAAATTTATCTTAATGACTACAATTTCCTGAATAGAATGAAGTGTTTGGCATCTACAGAAATAAGTTAGCAAACCAACAATAACAACTAAACTTTCAATAGCAACATTAAAAACATTCTTCCTCATTACCCCACAGACTTGAAATAAAAAAATTATTAAAATATAAATAATTTCAGAATATACAATAAATCTGTTAAAACATTTACCTAACAATGTAGAAAAATGAGTTTACAAATATGCTGGAAATTTTACAGTACTTTAAAATCATTTTCATGACCAGCAAACTAAAGAGCTGGAAATGTGTGGGGGAAAATTGATAAGAGGCAAATTGGAGTCAATTAAAATGATATAACCATGATGAATACATGACTAAGGAAACAAAAAGTTGGGAAAAAAGAGATACCATAAAAGATTTACTTAGATGAAGTTAATGAAAAATTCATTCCAAGAGATTTTACTAGAATTACTTCATACAAAACAGTGCATAAACCAAAACTTTACTAAACAGCTTAGCATATGCATTAGATAATGATGAATTCTCCAACAGTATTAACCCTTAAACTGTCCAAACGTAGATCTACGTTTGCACGCGTAGCGCTCCGACCTTGATTTTCTACATAAACAATGTAAAAAAAAAAACGTAGATCTACGTTCGAAGCGCTACGCGAGCAAACATAGATCTACGTTTGGACAGTTTAAGGGTTTGACTTATAATCTTTAATTTGCATCATGAACTGGGTACAGACTAGTGGAATGAAAGCTAATACGACTGATCCATTTTGTTTAACTTTTATAATGGACTTATAAAATCTGCACAGGTAGTCACTTACATAAAGGTGGATATAAGGTATAAAAATATGATGCTGCAAAGCTTCACTTGTTAAAATAGATGGAATATGATCATTTTGAATGAAGTACACAGCACAATTATACAATATCAATCTCTATTGGCCCCACTTAAAAATATATATCACAAAAATCCATATTAAGTTTTTATATCCTAGGGACTTTCAGGTGAATAACTTAGAATGTAAGGCTCATAAAGTGCTTAAATACTTCATAAATATTTATTAAAATTCAAAGTGAAAAAATAAAGGTTTCATTTACCTCAGTGAAGGAAGTGAATTATCTGCTATTTAAGCAACACAGAAGTCTTCATTTACCACTTGACATGAACCTATAATGGAGCTAGGTACTGTTAACTAATAAGAGGCTTGAAACACACACTTTTGCTTAAAATGTTGAAAACACTAAATGTGCATAATACAAAATTAATATACTTTAGGATTCCCTCTTTTAAAGCTACATTTCAGTCAGCACTGATGAGTAAAACTGCATTAGATAAATCTCAGCAGTCACGTATATCATCAGGTTGCTTACCTTCCACAAAATGTTTTTGAAACCAAGGGTTTAGACAAGTCTAGGTTTCAGAAAGGGTTTAGATTAAAAAAAAAAACAATAAAAAATGTATCATTATCAAATATAAAACTGGAGTTTCTTAATGTCAGGACCAAACATCAGTGTGATGCAGCTCAGTCTGGCACACACACAAGTTGACTTGTTGGGGCCTACTTTCATAGCTTGAAGGGTTTCACTTCAAGATATATTAGAAACAAATCATAATTAGAAAAACAATACAATGTGTATAAAAATTAAAAATGAATCAGGCAAAAAATAAATTTGGTGTACAGTGGAACCATAAATATATGAAGGGTTAAACAAATGATTTTAAACTGAAAGTGTCAAGAAAAAAGTGGCATCTCAGTGTATTACTTCTTAAATGGAAGCAATTTTAGTAATGGCACAAATAAATATATGTAAATGTGTGTACACACATGTATGATTGTTGCTTTTAACTTTTTAGTAGTAAAATACATTACCTCCACTTGGAGTCCATTTCAGCAGAGTATGTGATTACTTGTAGGTCAAGGAGTGAGAGATTTATTTGCAGAAAAACTGAATGGGCAGTGGAAGGATAATAAGATGGAGAGGAGATATGAGGCAGCAGAGAAGCAGGAGAGCAAAGAGGGTGGGAGGAGGGAAGGATTGTATGAAAGAAAAGGATGTGTACAAGAGAGACGAGTGTGCACGAGAGGGACGAGTGTGCACGAGAGACGAGTGTGCATGAGAGACGAGTGTATGAGAGAGACGAGTATGTACGAGAGAGAGGTGTCTATGAAAGAGAAGAATGCACTTAAGAATGTTGAGTGTATGACAGGCGAGTGTGAGGTAAGCGTATAAGAGGTGTACGAGATGGCGTATGAAAGGGAGGAGAGTATAATCATAGAGAGCTGAATATATAAGACCATGTGTGCATGTGAAAGATGAGTGTGCATGTGTTTAAATATACTTTATATTTAGACATCAACAGTGTCTGTTTCTTCCAAGCCACTGACTGATGAAACTGAAGCAGAACTTATGTCAAATCTAACCCGCTTTTCTTCTATGGGAGCTTCTGAAGAACATCGTAGAGAGCTCTTCATCCCAGACTTGTGCTGCAATTTTTCCAAGTGTTGCTGGTATTCTTTACTGTTTCTTGGCCACTGAGTCACAAGTTTTTTATTACATCTGAAGATATTGCTTTTTAATTCTCTGAATGTTAGCGATTTGTAAAAGTTATTTAAAGTATTTTTAAGGTCTTCAACTGCACGAATAGACAGTAAGGCTACTGTATGTAGGTTATCCATTAACTCTCTGCTGTTTTCCAGATCAGAGGTTGAGGAGAGAGAGATGTTATCTAATCCCTCAATTGGCATTAGACTAAGACCAGCAAACTTCATTAACTCCTCCAGTCTTCTCTTCAGTTCTTTAATAGTACACTCAAACTCATTCACATTAAATTTACCTGTTTAAAAAAAAAAAAAAATAGCAATTACTGAATGTGCATAAAATAAATGCATATGTAAAGAACAAAAAGGCACAATATCATGACTGGAACAATAAATAGTCCGCACTCTGTAAATGGTCCAAGTTGGATTGAATCATCATCTTAAGCTCCCCTCTCCTGTGTGTGGGCTATTTGTGAAATGCATGTATAAATATGTACATCAGTACAAAAGACTAACAAAAAGAAACATACAAAACAACCAACCACATATAGGTGAGTATGTACATCATACTGAGACATGTACACTAACACTTGTGCACCAACATACATATACTAACACAAACACACAGTAAAATTTTTTTTATGTGATCAAGACAAACCTGAGTGATTGTAGGAAGGAGATTGAGATGTTTGATGTCGAGACGCTGCACTGCTCGTTTTCACGACCCAAGCTCTCGTACAAAATACAATACCAACTTGTTGGAGAGCCCCTTGCAACTCCGAGTTGTCAGTAAACGAGTACGTTGGCAAGTGAGGAGAGGCTGTATATATAGGAGATGAGGTTACTAGTTCCTTGCTTCTTGCATTTTAGTCGCCTCTTACAACATGCATGGCTTATGGAGAATTCTATTCCACTTCCCCATGGAGACAAGAGGAAATAAACAAGAACTAGTAAGGAAATAGAAGAAAACCCAGAGGGGTGTGTGTATATGGACGCTGTCTATACATGTGCAGTGTGACCTAAGTGTAAGTAGAAGTAGCAAGATGTACCTGAAATCTTACATCATGTAAAACAATTACAGGTTTCCATTTCACACTCACTTGGCAGGATGGTAGCATCTCCCTGGGTGGTTGCTTTCTACCAACCTACTACCTAAGACTCCCATTCTCATATTACATAAATAATAATCACAAAGAAAAAGTATAATTACACAAGGTTTAGGTTTCACCATCAAGCTATGTATATTCAAAATTTACCTCTCTCTGGCCGCATCAGCATATTTTGACAAATGGGGAATTATCTCCACTAGTTATGCTGAACGAGATGCTGTGGGCCAGTCAATAGCTAGCAATTTCAGAATCTGAGTTTGAATCACATCACTCCATTGAATATTATTAAAAGTGTAAAGCTTAAACCTAAAGTGTAAAAATGTTTACTACAAACGAAATACAGCCTCTCCTCACTTAGTGACGTACTAGTTTACCGACGACTCGAACTTACGACGGGCTCTTTGACCAGTATGTATACCTAAATAATGTATATTTAGAGCTGATGTCCTCTATTCTGTTTATTACAATATACAGTACATTACTGCTGTATAAATATTTAAAAATATAGTAAAAATGTTATAAATGATGCAAAGGTGACACAGCAATATCAAAGATGACTGATACAAACCCACTACTCCTTGCTTAGCCACGAATTTGTTTACCAATGTGGTCTTAGGAACAGAACTCCATTGTTGAATAATTTATGTCTTCACTTGCTCACTTTACACTTTCATTGTTGAATAATGTACCTCTACCTTTGACGAGTTTTGAGTCTCGCTACTCTTGGAGCCCGGCCATGGGCCAGGCTTGTCTGGTGCTTACCTGGTCAACCAGGCTGTTGCTGCTGGAGGCCCGCTGCCCCAAATATCCATCACAGCCTGGTTGATCTGGCACCTGGTGAAGATACTTGTCCAGTTTCCTCTTGAAGGCTTCTTTACTTGCTCACTTTACACTTTCATTTTCATAAATTCCTCTTTTTCTAATAACATATCACACTAATTCCCCACCCAACCATACACAGCCAGGAACCAAGACTCAACCCCTGCAACCACATATGTACACACACGCGCACGTGCACTTACAAAAAGAAAAGTGCATGCGTGTGCGTGTGTGTGTGTGTGTGTGTTGTGTGTGTGTGTGTGTGTGTGTGTACATATCTGTGGTTGCAGAGGTTGAGTCTTAGTTCCTGGCTGTGTTAGTTACTAGTATGTGTATGGTTGGGTGAGGAATTAGTGTGATATGCACCCCCCCCCCCCAAAAAAAAAAAAAACAAGTGTCTATCAACAAGTACCTTAGCCAACTGATAACTACTATTCACACATCCTTACTCTTCTCCAACACATTATCCTCACCTTGTTGTGATAATGTAACTTGATTCACAATGACTAAGATCGCTGCTGTGAGCTGGGCGATTGTGTCTGATGCAGATTCTACACGATTTACCCAGGACACAATTTTGCTCATCTTCTCGTCGTCCGGCAGGTTTTCATCATATTCCAAGGTAGCCTGGTAATGGATGAATTACCTTAAAAATATGACAATTATTTATTAATGTTTTTCTGTAACGTGCATACTGGTACATACAGATGACCTGTCCTTAACAATCTCAACTTAAATTCAACAAGCAAAAAAACGTCTGAATTCCTCACTCGAATTCCCTCCTGCCAGGCTGCAGCCATCAACAAATAAAAATTGTGTATATATCTCCTGCTAGTCTGATGGAATATAGCATTAAGTATTTTTATACCATTCATCAATATACTGTATTAATAAATAAATAAAAAAAAAAGTGAATCTCTCATAATACATCACAATTTCAATATAAAATATCCAATCATTAACCAAATTGTACCAAATAAATAGGAATCCACCACATATACATCAAATAAGCATAAACCACAAAAAATCTATTTGATAAAGGGAAAATTGGGAAAAACAATACATGTTAATGCATGGGAGATAACTGTGTGGTGGTGTGTAGCTTGCGAGTGCTGCCCCACTCTCACTAAACCACTTGGTCTCCACTGATGCTTAGCTTGAACTCAGCAATGGTAGCGAATGTTTGAACACGAGTTCATCTATCACTTTCCTTTTCATTACTCAATCATAACCAATACAAGTTACAGACAGTTCAACTGTGTAGTAATATTTTACTGTTATATTCACAACAGTGCTTAAAGACATTAATAGTGTTAGAAAATGAAATTGTTTTGCCTTTTTTTTTTTTTTTTTTTTTTTTTTTTTTTGCAAGAAGGATGTCAGAGATATGAAGTACATGTGGTGTTCAAGAGTACTGTCCCAAAACTCAATGGTTCACTGATTTTTGCTGTCACTTTTTTATCAGCAACTACTTCTACATTGTGTGTTGTATCTACAGCTACCTTTGATAAGTAAATGCAAGGAAGAGAAATTACCAACACACATTACTGGCAGATAAAAAGGTGGCAAATCACTTGTCCCATGTTTCTATCAAAACATACGTAAGTTGGACAAACAATTCCACATCTCATTCTTTGTTACAGGTATAAACTTCAATACTACACCTCTGAGGAAAGCCTTGCAGTCATCTGCTTACACGAATAAACATGAATCTTACACATCATACCTGCTTGTCAGGAAAAGTTGAAGAGCATCAGTTGTGCTCTGGCTGTCCCAGTGTTTAGACAGTTACAAAAGATTACTACTCATTGTGTACATTGGTGTTAATATTGCTTAAATTGCATTTCTCTGCTGTATACACATACCCATATTTAGATTAAATATATTTTGCTCTACTATATGAAATCTCTATTTCAGGTTAACATTAATAGGTGAGGATGCCTTAGAGCGTAGACAGGTTTTGCTACGTATGCAGTAATTTATCAAGAAAATATAATCAAGTGTGCCAAGTGTGTATACAAGCACTACTTTGGTTGTAAGATAAATCAAGATAAAACATGGACTCCACACACATGCTGTATATTTATACCTTAGGGCCAACACAATGGTTGAATGGAAAATGTACATGCCACTTGCAGTCCCAAAAGTGTGGCAAGAGTTGAAGAATCATTTGAATGACTTGCTTCATTATGGATAATATGGTTGATTTCCCTAAGAAAAACAAGAATAAGATAACATATTCAGATTGTGAATCAGATTTAAAACCTGTACATACTACATAGTAGAGAGACTCGTACATCTGTTCCACCTGCTGCTTATGACACAGAACGTGATAGTAGTGAAGAAACTGACAATACTGATATTTATGAACCACCAGATCATTTAACAAGAGTTAAATGATCTTGCCAGGGACCTTCACCTATTAAAGCAGAAGACAGAACTACTTTTGTCATGATTACAACAGTGGAATCTTTAAGCAGAAGGAACAAAAATATCTATTTTTCATGTATGCCCTACTAGTTTGGCAGCATATGGAGAATGGTATTTCAACACTGATGTGTATGGTCTTATGAAAGAAGACTATTTATCGATTTCAGTAAGGTCAGTTTGAAAGCAGTGCTCCTTCACAATGGCAATGAAAAGTCATCTGTGCCAGTGGTTCATATTGTGGGATTAAAAGGAAACATACGAATCCATGGAAATTTTGCTTACGTTAATAAACTGCAATGACCACAAGCAGAATATATGTGGGGGTCTAAAAGTGACAAGGATAATACTTGGTCTCCAATGTACTTCATTTGTTTGTGGAACTGTCATGATGTTGCTAACCAAAAGATCAAAGAACTGGCAAAACAAGACCCTATTCCAGGAAAATTCAACATAAAATGTATGAGACTGTTGTATCCTTAATAAATATTTCTTCCACTGTTGGTGAGTATTTTCATCTATGTCTGTTATGAGGATAAGGCAGTACAGGTGCCAGAAGTGCCTTAAGGCACTGAGATTTTTACCTCACTAATACTGGAATTTGCTTTGTTTACTACTACCCTTTGTGTTCTATCAGAAATTTATAAATTTTTCTGCCTACTTCCCCATTATGCCTTTAGCCCTTATTTTGTGTGCAATCACTCCATGATCACACATGTTAAATGTCTTTGCAAAGTCCTTGTATATCACATATGAATTTTTATTTTCTTCCAGCACCTCCATAATTTTGCCACAGTAGTTCAGCAAGCATGCCAAGCATGATCTCCCAACTTTAAAACCATGCAGGTTTGCAATGTGTAAGTTGTGTTTTTCCACAAAATTTGTAATTTAGCATCTCATAACTTTTAAAGACTTACAATGTGAGATGTCAGGACTACTTGTCTAGTGTTTCATGCCCAATGCTTTACTGTCTCCCTTATGCACAGGGGGCTATGTCTGCACTCTTTAACCCTTTGAGGGTCGACAGGCCCTCTCCGAAACTCGTTCTCAGGGTCGGCCAAATTTAAAAAAAAAAAAAAAATTATTTTCTCTTATGAAAAGATAGAGAATCTTTTCCCGATCATAACGACACCAAAAGTTTGAAATTTGATAGAAAACTTACGGAATTATGCTCTCGCAAAGTTAGCGGTCTCGGCGATGTTTACGGATCGGCGATTTTGCCCACTTTGAGCCCCATTTTCAGCCAATTTCACTGTACTAGTCGACAAAAAACATGAATATTTCGCTAGAACTCCATTTTTTCTATCGAATGGGTGCAAGAAACCACCCATTTATAAATTCAACTATCCAGTACAGTGGTCAGAATTTAGCAATTTTGCCAATTTCACACAAATTTCAAAAGATGCCAATTTCGGAATAGGGTCCAGAATAAACAAGAAAGACATTCCTGGCACTAAAATGACATTTCCTCTAGTCATTAGTCACGTCTCAAGGCCCCTCTTATATTCTTTTGCTTTCACTTTGAATTTTTTATTCTCACAAAAAATAATAAGATTTACTGTTATGCAGACTACTGCATTAGTGTAAAAATTGGGATAAATATTATTGGTGCACTTGTGAAAGAATATTAGACTCACCAGTTGACGTGTATTGCACGCTTGGCACGATTTGTTTACTTTTGAAGTTTGGTAAAAATCGAACATTTCTGCTACTTTGAGCTCAATTTCAAGGCACCTTTCATTGTAAAACCAGTCAAAATCATCTCAATTTCAGTAATATGTCTTCCATTCTATAAAATGAGACCAAGAAAACTAGAATACAACAATAAATACTATACGAAAATACACTGCAAAGTCGCTGATTTATTTTTTTTTTTTTTAAAACCCATAAAATGGCAAAAAAGAAACTTGTTCACTCATTATCCACCGTTGCAATGCAATATTTTTTTAACTTTCACACTACAACCCATAGACGCATTCTTCCCTATGAAGGCCTCCCAGCTTTCTCCCACTAGATTTGAGGTCGCTAGAATTTATGAGTACTAGTACGTCAAAAACCCCTACGCGTAAGACGTACTAGTACGACGAAAACCCTCAAAGGGTTAAGGTCTCCTGATATTTCACCTAGATTTAAGCTCTTTCTCCAAAGGATACAGTGTTTGTGGTAGTGGTACTTTAAACTTTTTTATAAATAAGGAATTCCATGAATCTAGTCTAATTGTTGAATGAGTGGGCACATTTTTTATTTCTTTTTTGAATCCCACAGAATTGCTGCTTAAGTCAGTTACTTGATCTGCATGGACTTCAGATGGAATGAAAAAAGTTTCTGCATTCTCCACCCTGCTTTTGTTTAGTGGGTTGCTGAACATCGACTCATATTTTTCTCTTCAGAATTTCGCTCATTTTCTTTTTATTCGTGAATGAACCTGTAGTTAATGGTCTTGATTCTACAGGTAGTTCTTAATGTGGATTTTGCTAGCTGCCAGAGGCAAAGCATACAAAGTTGTAGCCACTCTTTATGACACTAAAATATGCAAGTGGCTCAGTTCACACATTTTCTTGTAAATTATTGCAAGTCAAAACAATGGTGAGAAGAGTGTCTATTGTGCCTGGTGAATAGACCTGTCAGCTGATCTATAAGCAAGTGTTCACTAACTGAAAGAGGAAAGTGGGAGACCAGCAGTCAGGAAGCTGGCAATTATATGAGAGGTGAATGAGATGTTAATGAGAAGCGAGGTAAGGTCCTATTTTTTTTTTTTGGTAGTTACTTGAAATCACATTATGTGAACGGTCGTTCAGCCGGAGTCCACTGAGTAAGCTCGATATGTAATTCAGTAATTGTAGAACAAGTGAGAATAAGATGAATGTGTGTTTAGCGAGGTGGCTACTGGCAAACAAAGCATGTCATCACTCTTACTGGTTAGTGAGAATAGAATCATCTATTAATGCACAATTTTTTAATTAGCACCAATTTTTCTGCCCCATTTAATGTCATATTACATGAAACACCTGTATCAAACATATGAAAGGCATTAAGTATATAACATCTTAACCTAGTATCCACCAAAATGTATAGTATATATTACTATACACGGGGGCGTTGACCCCCGGAACTCTCTCCAGGTAAACAATGCACATTCCCGTAATTTCTACATTAATGGCTTATCCATAATTGTGTAATCATACACTGTAGTTCTTTAC